ACTGTGAATTGTGTGTTTCAGGGCTGCTCTTTCCAAACCAATATCTTTGGTACTTTCAAGTCCCACAAAAATAGAAAACACACTCTATATTCTCTACAAGATTTTAAAGTAGGTATAGTAAAAACTAGTGAAGCAGAAAATTTAGCCGTTGGGGACATAGATAATGTAACTCAAAGTAACAATACTCATTTTGATAGTGATACAGAAACTGAAACAGAAGAACATGYTTTATCTAAAACCATAGAACTGAAGTTAGGTTATCTTTTATTGAAACTTGAAAACTATTTCCATGTTCCACGGACAGCAATAGATGAACTTCTTGATGAATTCCATTATTTGATAGGATCTGCATCTGTGCCCATATCAAACCAAGCAATTCAAGATACCTTCAGAAACCACAATATTTGTGTGGACCAGACTGTGATTAAAGAGTTAAATACTGTGTTATCTTCATGTAATCCTTTGCTAAAGAGTACAGCAAAAGATGGCCCACTAGCTACAGCTCATAAACGCAGAAAGTATTACAAAGAAAATTTTGACATTGTCGAGCCAGTAGAGTACATACTTGAGTCAAAAAACAGACGAACCTTCCAGTATATTTCTGTCCTGAAAACATTGATACAGTTACTCAGACAAAAAGGTGTACTTGATAAAGTTGTTGATGGTCATTCAAACAAGCATTCTGTAAATTGGGAGTATAGATGTTACCGAGATGGTTGCCACTTTAAAAGTAATGAATTTTTCTCAGGTGGTGAATTAAGATTGTTGTTGTGCCTTTACATAGATGAATTCGAAATCRGTAATCCTTTAGGGACGTCCCGCAAAAAGCATAAACTTTGTGGAGTTTATTGGATTTTAGGGAATTTGCTGCCAGTTTGCCAGTCATCACTGAACTCAATTTACCTTGCATTGCTTTGTAAAAGTGATGATGTGAAAACATTTGGATTTAAAAAAATATTTGAGCCTTTACTGCATGATCTTGTCACATTAGAGCAACWGGGAGTTTTCATTGATCATCTYGGAACATTCATTAGAGGTACTGTTCAATGTGTAGTGGCTGATAACCTTGGAGCACACGGATTGGCCGGATTTGTGGAGAGTTTCTCTGGAGATTTTGTATGTCGGTTTTGTACTGCTACACGTAGTGAATTTCAGTCACAGGAGGTTAAAGAGAGTGGCTTCACTCTTAGAACTAAGGAGCTACATTGTGCACATGTAGCAAGTGCATCTAAACAAGGTAAACCCTGCTGCGGAGTCAAAACTACATGTGTTTTAGCRGAGAGCCTTTCATTCTTTGAGGTTACTACAGGTTTTCCCCCAGATGTTGCTCACGACCTTTTTGAGGGGATAGTGCCCATTGAACTTGCTGAATGCCTTGGATTGCTGTTAGCAAAGAAGTACTTCACTTTTGATCATTTAAATGAACTAATTCAAAGTTTCCCATACAAATGGGGGGATAAAACAAATCGCCCTCATTTATTGCCACGTGCTTTCCTAAGTAAAAAAGATATTGGTGGCAACGCACACGAAAATTYGTGCCTTTTAAGACTAATACCACTTATTGTTGGAAAACTAATACCAGAAGATGAACCAGTGTGGCAGCTAATATTAGATTTGAAGGATATTGTTGATCTGGTTGTTTCCCRTGTGCATACCAAGGAGTRWATTGCATACTTGGAAACTAAAATATCAGACCATAGAAAAAGGTATTGCACACTTTTCCCAGAAAGAAAACTGCTTCCAAAGCACCACTACCTAGAACATTATCCAGCCCTAATTCTTCTTTTTGGTCCACTTGTTTCTTTCTGGACTCTTCGGTTTGAATCCAAACACAGTTATTTTAAAAACATTGTGAGGCATACAAATTGTTTTAAAAACATAACACTTTCTTTGGCCACTAAACATCAGCTTATGATTGGCCATAGTATGCATTTGTCATGTCATWAAAACTCTCTTGAGGTTGCACAAGTCTCACAAGTCCCTATCGATGTCATGAAAGAGGWGGTAGCAGTTAGCCTCCGTCAGAAGTACCCTGATATTGCTGTTGTAAATCTCACACAGAACGTATTTGCTGATGGCATTAACTACAGAAGTGGCATGATAATAGTGCATGGGTTTGTTGGTGGACTGCCAGACTTTGCTGAAATTGTACAAATGTGTGTTTTGAAAGATGGACTTCACTTCATTGTAAAGAAATTAAGCTCATGGTACAGAGAACATTATCGATCCTTCGAGTTGGATCCTTCTTCAAGTGATGTTTCTGTGATTGGGTTAAGTCAACTTGTTGACTGCTACCCCCTCTGTTATTACAAAGTTGGCAGTCTGCGGATGGTTACTTTGAAAAGATACATACATTCTTCAGGTAATATTACAGTAATCATTGGGTGTTTTGGGGTAATATGCAGTTTTTCCTCTGTCCATTCACTCGTTCTTTTGATACTGTTTAGAATTTTGTGTAGCTTGGCATAAATATATTGAATATAGGTGTTGGAAGTATACTTCTGTCAAAGGGAAAATAGCTCACACCTTAAAACCTGTCTGCAATGTATTTTTTTGACTGCTGAGTTGAAACCATTGAATGGAGTACTATATACAATATTACACTACTTTTAAATTGATATATGCAATAAAATTAGACTGCACGTGTCTCTGAGCTCAATAAAAATCTGTGTTTTGACACTTGTGTATTACACAGACAACACTTATGTCAGCTAGTGGTGAACACGAGTGGTAGAATTCAGATTTATATCGAGGTCAGGAATATATGTATACAGTCCCATATTTCATTTAACTTCCATATCACTTTAATCACTTTTAGTCTTGAATTTAAAGATGCCATAAGACCTGTTATTAGTGGTGCTCTGCTCTTTTTTTATACTAATTTTCTGTCTTTTAGAGTAAAAGTTGGATGTGGTGATACACACAATGTCTACTCCAGCAAAGCTTCGGATTGTCCTAGGAGAAGATAACTATGTGAAGCTGACTTTGCCCTCTGGCATACCAAACTCTGTGGACAGTCTTAAAATAGAGATTCAAAGACAGTTTGGCATTGAAGGAGACTTCAGACTTCAGTATATGGACAATGATTTTGACCAGTTTATGAACCTGACTTCAACGGCAGATATTCAAGACAAAGGAACAGTTAAAGTGATCACACAAAGTGAGCTGTCAACTCTTGGATCAGGCTGTACTCCATATGCACCAGTTCATGATGAGGATGACTCCTCTCCAGATACTGATATACTTTCCTCCACTGAGTCAACCAGCTCAAATTCAACTTCATCCTCAACCTCATCTCTAAGGTGTCAAGGCTGGCCACACAGCTTTCCTATTCCTGTGTTCTCCTACGAAGTGGAGATGCAGCTGTCAAAGGCAAACCAGGAATTTCTTGCTGAAGGCAAGCGACTGAACCCAAGTCTCAAAGTCAGGTCAGACATTTTACAGGCCTTGGCCTCTGAAATAATGAAGTACACAACAGGATACCCTACCGGAGCACAWTTGGAGGATGTTGCACAAGCGTTGATCACAAAACATCCATGCTTGAAGGAACAGGGCTCTGTTACCGGATTTTATGGTTGGAAAATCAGCCTAAAGTACAAAATGGGSAACTATCGTTCCAAGCTTAGAAGTTTGGGATGTCCAGAACTGAGCATCAACTCGTTGAAAACCAAGAAGTCTGGCGACTTGACTAGTCCTAACCAAGTGAAAAAACCCAGGAGAGCTGAAYTCAATTTTTGTCCCCATTACCCAGCTGGAGAAGACAAAGAGAGCCTGGAGAAGGTACGAGTTGAACTGCTATCTGAGGTCAAGAAAAGGAACAACCAGCAGGTGATCAAAGAGAAAATGGAGAAAAGCTTTGCTCATCGGCGGTATGAGGTGGTTCAAGACATGCCCTTCATTGCAGAATTCAAAAGTAGATGGCCAGCTCTATTTACGAAACATCAGGTTAGTCTTGATCTTTTAGGTAATACATAATTGTCTCTTTCATGTATTGTGGTACAGCTTAAAACTGACTCATTATTATGAAACAAGCAATTATGGGAAAAAAATGCAATATTTGATGTTATCCAATCTCTATATTTATTGACATGAACTAGTAATAAATAAAATATCTGGTCTCATATGCAATGGTAGGTGTATATTCATGTATCCGACTAATGGAGACAAACTCAAAGCCGACAATCAAATTGGCAATCAAAAGGCCTCTAAACTTGAGAGCTGGGTCAGAGTTACACAGGATGGTCCAGTTCCTACAATGAAATGCAAAGTTCAATTCCCAAATGTGGGAATAAATAGCATAARATGTCAAACTGATATTGTGTGCTTAGGTTATGAAAGTACAAAATATGAGAGTTGTGAAGCAAATTAGTTCAAACATAAAAGACTGAATAGATGTTTTAATATGGTTTCTATAATGGATGTTCTAAATTTAGTCCACTGAACATTTGTACTACATTTAGGGCTGGGAAATATATCCGTAGAAATATAACACTGAGATGGAATATATTTTGAGATTTGAAATATGMCAATCTTGTGATATTACATGTGACAGACTTTAAAAACTGTGTTAACCTTATTTTTTTACWTTTTTTTTGTCTTGTTGAAACGCGTATGTAGGTATGTGCAGAGTTCACACGCATTACCACCATCCCGCTTCTCCCAAAGTTTATGGCGCAGCTGGACCGCTACTCTGAAAATTTGACCAGAGTTCTCCGTAAGAAAGGGGGAGCAGTAGGACACAAAATCAAAAACATTATGGCTGTCATGGACCAGGTTTGTTTATATTTGCTTACCGGTACATACTAAAGTTGATGCAGATATGCCACCCCACCATCCACCAWTTTTCTGCAACACAAATTTTTCTTCACTCTATTTTTTTCTTAGAATTCTGAGATTAAAATCAGAACCCGGAAAATCAAATATATATAT